ACGTCGTATTCTGCTGAGTTAGTTTGGGAATAGACCTTCAACAACAACAATAGATTAGAAAGGGGAAAAGGTGGACCAGGTTCAGCTTTATTGACATGTCATTGGCTTCACATTTTAAGACTTTTTCTCCAGGCTACATCCCCAAGTAAAGCCACTAAAGGTTAAAAACAAGTGTATTAACTAGCAAAGAAAGTAGGAGCACTTTAGAATGACAGATATAGAGACATTATTCTACTAACTGACTTTTTCAACAATTAAGGGAAAAGTATAAAATCATATTTATAGCTTCATCAGATCATCTAAAAAAAAATCTATACAATATACATAGGCCTCATTCTTAAATAGTTCAATAATGAAAAGCTGCCACAGTGTTTCTCAAAACTAAGGCTACTGGTAGACACAATTCTAAATGATAGGACACATTATTACTGTGGAAAAAAAGTTACCATGTGGAAATTAATTAAAAATTATATTATATTATATATATATATATATATTGGGAATTTACATTTTGAGATCTAAATGACCCGTGGTCACCATAAACGTTTCTACTGATTGTATGATGTATTGCCTAAATGTGTTTGCTTGTTTGAGTGCAAGAGGATCCTCTTGCTCCACAGAAAAGTAAAAATGTTATGGTGTTACTGTTACTATTGTTCTCTATCTGGAAAAACATCACAGTCCCATTTTCCCTGAGAACATTTTAATCCCTCTACCAAAGGGTCTGTTCTTTCACTAGAGTTTGAAATTACCTTGTGTGTCAGAGTGACATGTGTACCACATGTCCGACATAATTGTAACAAACATTGTAGCCAACCATGGCGCAGATGACTGAGTCAGGCTTTCATTAGTCTAAATGCAGAAAAGAACACATTCAGTAAACAGTCTTAAAAGTTTGCAGATCAGTGCAGGTTTGTTGTCTATGGAAACCAAAGGTATAAATATCAAAGTCCGCTCTAACTGTTTTTGTCAAAAGCTTTGTTGCCTAGTTGCCAGCTCGAATGCTTCCATAGCATCCAACAATCTGTTTCTTATACCACAGCATCCTCATCCCTGCGGTGTGCTTTCGTTCTCTGCTCGGGGGATCTAAAGACATCAGATGGGCTTAGGTTACAAGCTGCATACTGCTTCAGGCCAAGTGGTTGCTTATAATATCTACCAGGAAACATCAACATGCACAACTGGGGAGAGAAAGAAAGCTGTCCGCAGGCTTTGCCTTACCTCTCCATGTATCCCCATTACTCCTTTGCTCATTATTTCCTCTCTGTCTCTTTTGTCACCCCTTCTCCAATAAAAACTATATGTCTTATTCTTTCCCAATCCACTCTCTCAGTCTATTTGCCTATCTAATGGAATTCTACAGTCATGTATTCAAATGCACCTCATTGCCTTCCCTGTGAGGTGACTTAGCTAATGGCATTCTGCTTATTGCCTGCTATTGCACCCCAGGGGGTCCTTTACCCATTTGCATTGCATATCTCGATCTGTGAACGATTTGAGTCTCTACACGGATGGATTCATGCCTGTTAAGAAGTCAGCAAGTACATTTTTTCCCAAACCGTGTAAATAGAGTGATTATCCTGGATTTGAAGCAGGGAGGGATTTTTGTTGGTTGCTTGAATTGTGTTAACCTGCAGGTCTGCTGTTTGCATCTATGTCTGATTAGATGAAATGTTTGCAGGATCCTAGATGTGCTGGTTTAGTTTCATGACCTTCAAGCCCTACCAACAACATTCAAAACCTATGCAGCATTTCAAAAATGTATGAACATCTATCACAAAATAAGCCTGTTTTCATATTTTATGAAAAGCTAAAGGTTTCTGTGCAGAATGTTGTCCATTCAGAACGGTGGGCTTAACACA